CCCCATTTCTAACTGAGAAGGTGACATGTCCTCAAGAGCAGAGTCCCTGCCGAGTGGCATCAGGCTCCCAACAAAGAGGAGCTGGTGATGACACGTTTTCAGCCATCACCTTGGGTCCTGACCCCTCCTCTCCCCACTGTTTCCCCTGGAGACCCGAAGGCAGCAGTCCTGTGCCCTCCTTGGTCTCTCACCTGCTGTCCCTAGAGTCTCTCCTTGACCACGGCGTTCACGTGTTGAAGCACATTGACCTGCGGAAAACACCCTCCTTGGAGTTTGGCATGATGATCATTTTTGCGTATCTTCCATATGGGCTTGCAGAAGGAATCTCCCTCTCAGGTAAGTGACAGTGGCGGCAGGGGTGGGGGTTGTGTGTTTTCAGTCCCAGGAGGCAGACTCAGCCCAGAAGAGCTTAAGTCTTAGGGGGCTCTGTTGGCTCTTTAAGGAAGCATCTGGATTCAGGCCTGGTGGGGTCCAGACACTCAAAACAGTGTCTATCATTGATGACACTCCCACTCCCACCCCCACCCATCAGTCTGAGGAGGGAGGGACTGTGATGGTCCTTATTTTACTAGTGAGGAGCCTGAGGTTCAGGGAGACCAAGTCTGTTATCCATGGTCACAGCTGCAGGTGATGGACTGGCATTGCAGCTAGTTCTCTCCGACCGGAACAGATGCTTCCCCACTCCGCCCTCCAGTGCCGCCGCTCCCCATTGCATGCCGGGCCCCACACCGAGGACTGAGGGCCTTGCACAGGACAAGCCAAGCGTAGCCAGATAAGGGCTGGGGGAGGAGGGGACACTCAAAGAGTCATGGTTCCTGGATACCCCACCCCAACCAGTCACCCCACCCTTGTTTACAAGCCTTGGCTCGGCCGGTCTTCGGTCTTCCTGCCTGCAGTTGACAGTTTCTAGGGTTGATTGAGTGGGGAGGACATTGGCCTGGAAACAAGGTGTGTGGAGCTTGGACTCTTCTCCAAGAGTGAGGAAGGGAGCCGCTCTGAACAGGGAGCTGACCTTCCATGTTTGACCTCTTCCCCTCTGAAGAACAACAACAAAAAACCAAACTTACTGCCATCGAGTCAGTTCTGACTCCTGTGAGTCTGTAAAGCACAGGGTAGAACTGCCCCTGTGGGTTGCCAAGACTGAAAACCTTTACAGGAGAGCAGCTGGGGGGCCCAAACCACTGACTGGGGTTAGCTTGTGGACTCATAAACCTACTACACCACAGGGCAGAATCTTGTTCTGGGCAAGAGGCAACGCTGCAAGTAAGATTTTGATCTCTGCTACGAGATTTGATATGAAGTTGGTTGAGGTGTAATCTACCTATAGTCAGTGCACTCATCCTAAGTTGCACTTCTGACACGGGTACGTCATGTGACTGCCACCAGCGTCAAGACTGAGATCTTTCTCTCCCTCAATATTCCCTTGTCCCCGTCCTGCATCTCCGTCCCATCTGCCCTGACCCCCGCTGATCTGTGTGCAGTTACTATAGTTTGTACTTTCCTCAAAGCCAGATCAATGACATCTTGTAGTGCACAGCCTTGTCCGTCGGATTTCTCTCACTCGCATTCTTGCATGTACCTCTCTAGTTACAGACATTTTTAAAGTACGACACTCACCCCTTCACCAGTCAATGGACTTCGGGTTATTTCCGGAATTCAGCTGTGAACATTTGTGCCTTTGTTTTCCATTGTCTTGAGTAAATACCTAGGTGTGAGGTAGCTAGGTCACAGGATAAGTAAAAACTGCCAACTCTGGTCCAAAGCGCCTGTGCCCTTTGGCATTCATTCCCCCGGCATCCTCCCCGGCAGCGCTGCTTTTCCTCTATGTAAGGTCAGCTGTCCTGACGGCGCCGCAGTGCCGTGATGCTGTGCTTCCGTGAGCTTCTCGTTACAGTCGGTCTGTGGTTTGTTGAGCTTCTTGGGTGCATAGTTGATGCTTGTACATAGTTCTCATCAAATGTAGTGCATTCTTTACATTCTTGCCCATTCCTAAAAACCGCTGCTGTCCTTGTTGCCCCTCCTCTCCTGCGGGGACTCCAGGTGCTCCCATCGCAGTAGCACCCTAGCGCTCCAGATTATACTCAGTCCTCCGTTCCTCCACATCCTCGGCAACGCTGGTGTTTCGTTTTGTTGTATAAGGGCCACCCCGGGGGAGGAAGCACCTGTGCCCTGGGGGTTTGTTTCACGTTGCCCTGAGCACTGATGGTGTCGAGCCTTTTTCTCCAGGGCTTATGGGCCCTTCGTGCACCTCCCTGGGAGAAGTGGCCGTGCAGGTGCTTCATCCATCGTAAGTGGCGGTGTTGGAGCTTTGTGGTGTGGTGGCCTCAGAGTTCTGGAAAGTAATCTCCTGTTTGAGTCCTCCGTCGGGGCTCCCTTTGCACTGTTGACAAGAATGCTCTGGGATGCACAGGTTGGTGGGTTTGCACGTTTGATGGCGTCCAGCGTGCGCCTGCTTTTCTTGTGTGGCTCGGGCTCGTGGTGCTGTTTCTAGGGACCCATCGCCCAAACCAAGGTGACAAAGACTTCCTCTGATGTTTTCTCCTGGGGGTTTTAGGGTTTTTGCTCTTACACCATTCCAAGTTAACTTTTGTGTACGAAGTGAGATAGGAGGCCAGCCTGGTGCTTTGTGCATGGAAATCCTCTGGCCCCTGCGCTGTGCCTGCAAGAGACCGGATTGGGAGTGTGAGATCGTTAAGTACGAGACTTTCTTGTGTTCCTTTGGAGAGCTCGGGTCTCTGTTCTTAGAAGCTGTTTAATCCTCTCAGGGCTCGTTGGTAAGCTTTGTTGGGCATGCCCAGAGTAGTCCATGACTTCTACACTGACTTGCGTGGTGACTGTACCCTTCTGATGACCCTCCCTGTCCCCAGTGTCCTGCGAGGTCATCACAGGCTGAGGGACACATACTCTCCTAGCCGGGCATGAGTGTGGGGAATCGCTTGGCCAATTTCCTTTGACTGGCTCTTCCTCAGAATGTTACTCCACACATGTGCAGACTCGGTAGTCACAGGTTCAGGGGAACTCAGCCTTGGCCTCCTGCGGCTGGAATCCATCGCCTCAGTCTGCCTCAGCTAGACAGACTGCCCAGCTCTGTGTTGGTTCCCCTCCCTGAGCCTCAGCCTTCTGTCGGGCATCTTCAGGCAGCCCTGCCTGGTGGCCAGTGTGGGGAAACTGTCTTGTTCCATCGTTTCTTCCGGTTTTGCCGTTGCTTGTGACAGGATGGGGTCCTTCGTGGGCCAAGTGGAAGTTCCAGGTGGTGCTCAGATGATGGGGTTGGGTCTTCTCCTTCCCACAGCTCCCCGCCTCAGTCACACCAGGGGTGCTGTGGGCAGATACCGGCTGCAGGGAGCCCAGGGCAGCTGGCTAGTCTCCCCTCCCTGAGCGAGTGAGTAAGCGAGCGCGTGCTCTCCGTAAACCTCAGGGTTTTGTTGGACTTAATCCCAAACCAGGTCGTCGCCAGGGTAGTTCCACTCGGTAGCTGCCATCTAGTTCCCTCTTATCTGTACTGAGTTGTGTGCTAACATGCGTATCTACTTGTGAGTCACTGGTCTAGCCTCACTATTGTCACCTCGTGTTTTTCCGAACTCTGAGGCAAAGCTACATCTGGGTAAAGACCCATCGAGAGCATGTTGCTGGTCCTGTACCTGTTTGGCTGTGCCTGCTGGTGGCGTCCCAGAGCGCACAGCCCCCGCTGCACACACTGTGTCTTCAGGGCTCTTGGCCAGGGCCGCCCTGTCGCCACGGGCACGCAGGCTTCCAGAGGGACGAGGACAAAGATGGGAGAGCGTGGTGCTCTTGCTTGCTCTTCCTGCCTTTGTGGGCCCCCCGTCTTCTGACGGTCACCGGAGGCTGATGGGAAGTGACTCCCCAGACCACGGAGCTGGGCACCCCCTCCCTGTGACTCACTCACCCGAAACCACATGCTCGCGACACCGTGGTGATGAACTGGGGCTGTGTAACCGGACAGATGCAGGTCTGGGCCCCAGCCCCACCTCTTTGGCTGCAGGACCTCCGGCGACAGACCTAACCACTTCCTTGTTACAAAGTAGAACCCGTGAAAGTGCCAGCCTAGTGTGCAGGGGCACAGGGACTGGTGTGGGGAAGACTCGGCAGGGACAGCAGTGCCTGGTATTGCCGCCAGGGTGACCACATCCCCTCGGGCACCTGCCCAGGTTGCCCCTTTCGTTCTAGCTTGGTAAATTAGCAACGCTGTCTTTCACCCTGAAAATGTCCCGATTTTAGAAAACAGAAAATTCTCAATCATCTCCCGAATTCTTACCCAGCACGTGTTGGCTCTTCTCAGAATCACTGTTCGAGTTGTATCGGCTGAGCCTTTTATAAAAAGGGCTGTGAGGGCCACTTTGCCCCCTGGCTCAGAAGACTCGGCTGTGTCCCCACTCCATCCTGGCCCTGCGCAGACACTGCTTTATAAACACGGGGCCGATGGGCAGTGGCCATAGGATAGGACGCGTGGGGACAGCGGATGAGTGTGCACGACATCAGAAACTTGGGAAGAGGCTGGCAGGTCCCCCGGGGAGTGGAGCGGGCAGTGGTAAGCACACCGTGCCGTGGTTGCATCTGCTTCCTCCGTGACATGGAGACTAGAAAGGGACCTCAGAGAGAGAAGTTTACACGTAAAGTAAAAGAAGTTACAAGGTGGCTTAGTGGTTACAGGTTGGGCCGATAACTGGATGGGTCAGCAGTTCGAAACCACCAGTCACCCCAAAACAGAAAGACAAGGCTTTCTGTTCCCGTGAAGAGTTGGTCTGGGAAATCCCTGGGGCACTCCTCCCGTCCTCTGGAGTCGCCCGAGTCAGAGTGGACTCCATGGCAGTGGGTGTTCATTTTAGAGACAAGGACGCACTCCCGCCCTCCTCCCGTCCGAAAGGCTGAACATTTGACTCTCTTGTTACCTTGCTTGCCTGAGTGATTGTGCAGGAACTCCTCCTAACAAGATATTTTTTTAAATGCCCAGGCCTTTGATCTCGTGCCGGGGACCCTTCTGTGGTGTCGGTAGCCTATCCCATGGCAGCTGCAGTGGAAGGAGGTGGATTGTGGGGCAGAGATGTTGTCTCTGCTCAGGGAGGGCATGGAGGGCAGACCCTGGAGCTGTCCCTCAGACTTCTGGACCCACTACTGCCCCTGACTCTCTCCTTTGACCCCTAGAACTTGAGAGGTGCCCCAACCTCCAGACAGGCCTGGGGGGGCGTCATGGTGTGTGCTTGGCACTAGTAGGTCAGGGGCACAAGTGAGAGTGTGGTCCAACTCAGCACCCAGAGGGGGTGTGCATCTATCCAGGGACATCCAAGCACTTGAGCTGGCTGCTATCATTGAGAACTGGGAGGTGGCCCGTGAGAAACACACTCTGGCATGTCTCAAAAGACCAGAAATAAGACTGGTCAGCCCTAGGCCTCCAATCCCACAGGGCGGCTGCCGACCAAGGAGCCTTTGTCCCCGTCCACCACCTAGGGCAGCAGAGCAAGTGGCCAGCCCGCCCCTCTGTGCCGGCCTCCCTGGTGAAGCGCAGGAAGACTTGGAGAGGGGCAGTCGGTCGTCCCAGGGCCCCCCAGCTGTCCAGGAAGCTGCCAGAGAGAGAGGCCCTGGACCTTCCTCTGGAGGCCCTGGGAGGACCACAGGCCGCAGTCCCTGCGCCATGTTTGTAAAACACCTGCTCCCCGAGTGAAGAAGTGTAAGGTGTTAGTTGGTGCCTCGTGACGGTGCTGTCCTGCTGTTCATGTCTGTGCTCTTGGTCCCCATGTCCCCCCAGGCATTATGGCCATCCTGTTCTCCGGCATCGTCATGTCCCACTACACACACCACAACCTCTCCCCGGTCACCCAGATCCTCATGCAGCAGACCCTGCGGAGTGTGGCCTTCATGTGTGGTGAGTGCTGCCCCGGCCGGGCTCACCTTCCCACCTCGCCTCCCGTAGGAGTCAGCCAGCCAGCGTTTCCAGCAGGCACCTGAAATCCTCACTCTCGTCTTCTGTCTGCTCCGCTTCACCCTGACCCCTGACCCCTGAGGCTGTAGACAGACGCCGACAGTTCTAAGAGCAAAGCCAGGAAGAACTACCAGTTAGGACCATTTGAAGTGCCTGCATTTTTCGAGTGGTAGAGTAACAATCCCAAGAAATGTAGTCTTTGGAATTGGTGGTGTTGAGAATTAGGTGAAGAAAAAAAAAAAAGGTATGGGTGGGGGATAGAAAGAAGCCTGGGGAATGTTGGGTTAACTGAAGCGGACTGAGTTTATCAGCGGCAAGATTGTGCGTGTGACTTTCTGAGGACTTGGTGAGAGCGTTTCCCATACCTGTCCACAGGACCTACCCATGTTCACAAGAGCATCTCGAAGGGCCCATTACCTGAGCGCGCGCTCCTCCTACATACACACACACACACACACACACACACACACACACACACACTCAGACATGCAGGTGCGCATGTGTGCACAGGCACCCATTCCTTCGTTCAGACCCGGGAGTGAAGCTGCCACCCTCACATGTCTCTTTAAGCTGGTCCCAAAGTGACTCTGTCCTCACTGTTGGCATCAGTGCCCCGGGTCTAAAGCGCTAGCTCCTTGCTGTTGTGTCCAGGGTTTCGTCCCCACCTGCAGACAGGGAAGCTGAGGTGTTGGAATTGAATGGCCTGCCCGTGGCCCCCTCACCAACAGACACACCTGGAAGCCAGTCTCTTCATTCCTGGTCACGTGGGCACCTTGTCAGAGCACGGCCCTCGGAAAGCCACGCTAACGGATTTCAGACTTTCTGGGGCCACAGAAGCTGGAGGGTGCCCCAACTCGCGCGCTGAGAGGAGCTTGAAACCTGAACCTGAAAGCAGACAAGTCTCGCTTAACTAGTAGACAGTCTGCCTTGAGCACCGTGCTCTCTGAAGAACTCTCTCAGGGATCAAATTGGCCACATCCAACTGGAAAGATGGGCTAGGACACTTGGGAGGTAGGAAGGTGTAGGGCAGTGGGGGAGGGACAGCTTACGCTAGGAGGGTGGGTGCACCGCCCGAAGACGTCATCGTGGTCACTGGGTTCTACACACAGACACGTTCTGTGGGACGTCTCTACAACAGCAAACCCATTACCAACAAAGGAAACAGGCCAGGCCTAGGGCTTCTGGCCCTCACCATGAAAAGAATGTAAAGCAAAAGGTGCTTCAAACTTTTTTACCCACCAGATTGGCACCGTCAGAGTTTGACGATATCCACTCCCGCCAGGGTGTGTGCACAGCGGGTCCTGCAGATGAGAGTGTGTGTTGGCACCGTCCCAAGTCGGGGGAAGGCGGGGAGGTTCTTGGTACCATCTCTCTGAACTTGCTCTTTGACCCCAAATTCCCCCCATCAGGAATCTGCCATTGGTTCGAGCTACTTGTGGTGGTGATGGCAGAACCGGACACAGGCTGAAAGTCCTTTCACTGAGGACTGGTAAATTATCCAGGGAATAGAGATGCCGCCTGGGAACTCCTAAGGTCACTCTGACTGTGTTCTGAACGTGCTACCTTGGGAAGCACTCAGAAACATTTTTAGCTAAGAGACAAACTCTAGGAGAGACGGGAGTCCGTGGTCCAGCTTCTGCACTTGTGTTAAAAGGACTCGCTGCTGTCCAGTCGATTGGACTCCCAGGCACCCGGTGGGACGGGCTCTAACTGCCCCCTGGGCCCCGAGACTGTGACTGCATGGGAACAGAAAGCTGCCTGTGTCCACCGCAGAGCACCTGGTGGTTTCAGACTGCTGACCTTGCTTGCAGTTAGCAGCCCAACACGTGACCCTAATTAACAATGCCACCGTGGCTCCTCGTTAAAAAGACAGACATCTGCAAAACAGCCGCTTTGCCATTTTATGGTGATGGCCTATTTTTAAATGAAATCTTTGCCACTCTCTACTTACTTAGGTTTTCTGGGGGATGCCACCATTTGAGCAGGGAGCGTGGCATCAGAGATGTACGAGGTGCGCTTCTTACAATCCACATGTGACTCCTACAGCAAAGTGGAACGCCAGACCCTTGGCTTGCCGCCCGAGCCAAGAACTGGAGTGTTCCCCTCTCCAGAAAGTTACATTCGTGGCACTCCTGGGCAGGAGCCCTGCTCTGAGCCTGGCACGCGTGTGTCTTCACTCACTCTAGGCACTTGGGCTGGCAAGAAAGCTGACAACAGCCCTGAATGGCAGATCGCTGTCACCACCGTCTTCCCTGGGCACCTGGCATTGCTTAGCTAAGTGTTTGGCGGCGGTCGCCTTCAGCCAAGTGTTGTGACGGATTCCACCTTCCTTCGGAATGCTTACCTGCTTAACAACTTCATGTCCTATTTGGGGGGTGGCGCGGGTGGCAGGGAAGAAAATTGCAGGGTCTGCATAATCCGTGTTCTTTGTTTCAGAAACGTGCGTGTTCGCCTTCCTTGGCCTGTCCATTTTCAGTTTCCCTCACAAGTTTGAAATTTCCTTTGTTATCTGGTGCATAGTAAGTATTTGCCTTGTTTTTTTAACTTAATTACTTACTTATAGGTTGATAATCACATGTTCTTAACATTTCTGTAACTGCTTCCTGTTCAGAGTCAACAGATACATGGACCTTCTTCTGCTCAACCTGGGTTTGTTGGGGTGGGGGGGTGGGGGGGATCACATACATATAAATGTGGGCGGGGGGCAGGAAGGGACTGAGTGGACGGAGAGCCCTGGAAAAGGATTTTTGTTGGCTTTTAATTTTCCAGTGTGCTGGAATGTTGGGATCCGCTTTGCTGTGTGCTTGCCTCCTGTATCTCATGTTAGAGAGTCTGCCATGGGGGATCTCGTATCAGAGAGTCATGCACAGGACAAAGACTGTCCGCGAGCCCGCCAACTGTGGGACAGATCTCTCCTTCCCACTCTTTGGGACAATTCATAATGGGCTCGCTTTCACTGTGCTTCCCTCCCCTGCCCCACTCAGTGCGTCTCCGTGTGACCTTGGGCACGTGTTGACAGTGAAGACTGGCAGGCCGTTACCTGCACCCCAGCCTCACCCAGGGGGCTCATCCCAGAGACAGGCCTTCCCATCGGAATGATCACTGTAACTGAACACACATGCGCGCACACACGTACCTGTCCGAACCACCTGGGGGTCTCGTTAAAGTGTCGCTTCCGACTCCCTCTCTCTGGGGTGGAAAGGCAAATTGTCAGCAGGGGGTCGAGCCAGAAGGACCCCCCCTGGAATCCCTGCCTAGATATCTGCCTCTTATGATCAAGGTCTGGGAAACAGTGTTCTAAGTGGACTGGGAGCACACAGGATGAAAGTAGGCCTCTGAGAAGGGACAAGGAGTTGCATTGGCAGTAGAGGAACATGTGTCTGGGGACTGGGATGGGGAGAAAATAAATGAGGCCCTGGGCTCTCGGGCATCTGATTTCCCCGAGACCCACCAGAATGGCTGTTGATTGTGGTGTGCGTAGGCCTCTGGTTTGCGTTCCTCCCTCGGCCTCTTCACTGCCTCCCCTTTCTCCTGGAGCTCCTCGGGATCTACTTGCCCTTCAGACCCTCTGCAGATTGAAGATGCTGGCAGGGCGGGCTGCTGGGAGTCAGAACTGCCTGGGTGGCAGTGGCTCAGAGGCGCACCTTGTCTTGCCGAGGTATCATCATTCATCTTCAGTCAGCTCTTAGGGCCACGGCCTGGTGACCAGACTCGGCTGTTGGAAGGAACCATGTTGTTTCAGTCAACCACCCACCGACCTCACACAGACAGTGAGGCCGACCTTGGGGGTGTGGGCAAACCGAAGCAGGGAGAAGCTGAGAAATCCTGAGGAAAAAGAGGTTTCCTTGTAATCTGGACACATCGACCTCTCAGTCCCCAACAGCTCCTTGTCAGTTGTCCCCATTATCTGTCTGTCCTCTAAACTCAGGTTTCGGGATGAGCCACTCGCAGCAAGTGTCATGGTCTTCAGCGGGGTCCCAGGGTGGGAGGAGCCCCAGGTGGCCAGACCAGAAACATGGGTGTGGGCTTGGGTTCCGGGGCATCTCAGCCCGGGGCTGGGAGGAAAGTAAAGCCCAACAATGACTCGTCCACTCCTCGTCCCACCAGGTGCCCTTGGCTCCGCGGGCAGCTGCATGGGCTCTGGGTCTGAACCACTTCCTGCCTGGGCCGTCCTGAAAGGAAACTTCACGTCTGTCTCCATCAACTGGGGACAAGCATACATAGCTTCCTGAGAGCACTAAGGAGGGAAGTTCACAAGATGATGTCTGTACAGCGCTTCGCACATCCTCAGGCAGAAAAATCACAGATTCTTATTCACTTGGTCTCCCCAGGCAGCCAAAGCCCACTCCATCCATGCCCAGAGAGTGTGCACGGGCACATTATGCGTCTCAACTGATCGCTGTCAGAGAAATGGAGGAGGATTAATGTAATGGTCCTTAAGAATCCCCTTGGATCATCTGCGTGAAACTTACCTGAGCCTCTCTTGTTAAGCCCGGGGCGCCTCCGGAGCTGGGGCAGCCTTTTTTAGTCGTCCTCGGGCTGCTCTCGCAGAAACCAGAGTGGGTGCCTCAGACAGACACCCTCCTCACGTCTGAAACCAGGGCACCAGCCTTTGAAGGCTTTTTCTTGCTCGGCTCTAGGGGAAAGACCTCGTCTCTTGTGAGCTTCTGCTCCCTGGAGCACGCCCTCTTTTCCCCCAGCTCTGTTGCCTTCTCTCTGCCTAATGTCTCAGAGGTGGTTGCCTTAAAGCACACACCCCTACACTCATGCTGTCCCACAGCATGACAGCAGACAGGCTTCCCAACTAGAGCCATAGCCTCCGGGGGAGGGGTTAGGAGTTGCACGTATTGATCAGAGTCACCTATTTTAGTTGCCATGGTCATGGCCAGCCACTGGCAAGGCAGGGGTGAGGGCCTTTTAGCCCCCATAGGGCATATGCCATGTGCTCAGCGAGCAGCGTCTGTCTACCATTGCATGGAGGGGCGCCGGTGGGGCAGAAACACCTGGCCTGTCCCTTCAGAGCTGGCCCCAGGGTGAAGCAGGTGGACTGTGAATTAGTCTCTGGAGAAAAGTGCGCCGCTTGGCCTTGGCCTTCGTTCCCCGCCATCGCCAGAGCACTCAGTGGATACCTGTAGCACCGTCGGGTGATCCAGTGACGTGAAGCACAGACTGACTTGTGCTTCCTGGCTCATCTGCCGATAAGATCAGTCGCGTGGCTGTTCACCACGCCCGGACTCTGCTTCCCCGTATCTCTCTCCTGACCTCACAGTCCCTTCCTATAGATTAATCAGAGCCTTCTTTTCAGACGCACAGTCCCTGACAGGGGCGTCGCCCCAGTCAGCCAGATAAGCATAGGCTGACTTGTGCCTCCTCACTGATTTTTGTTGGGCAGTTTCATGTGTTTCTGCCATCTCAGCAAGTGCAGCTGTCCAGGACAGAGGAGTAAGTGGCCCGTATTACCTCCGCGTGCACTGGGAACCCGCCCTGCTGTGGTCAGGCCTCTACCGGCTGCAGCTTGAAGGGCTTCCGTCTGAGGCTTGGTGTGTTGCTGTTCCCAGGTGCTCGTCCTGTTTGGCAGAGCGGTGAACATTTTCCCTCTTTCCTACCTCCTGAATTTCTTCCGTGACCATAAAATCACACCGAAGATGATGTTCATCATGTGGTTTAGTGGTAAGTGCCGTCTCAAACAAACAAACAGGCCGGGGAGAGACCCACACTCACCGCTGGAGGGGCCCTCCCACGACAGATGCGTGCATGGACCCCAGACAGTGAGGACCCTCCTTCCCCAGCCGCTCCCATACCAGATGTGACGCCTCGGAAACCCCGAGGAGCAGGCTTTGTGTGGGGCTGGTTACTTTTGTTTTCCCTTTCATGATCAGCAAAGAAGCCCTGGTAGCAGAGTGGTGAAGCACTCAGCTGCTAACCACGAGGTCAGTGGTTTGAACCCACCACCAGCCATGCAGAGGCAGGAGGATGAGCCTGTCTGCTCCCATAAAGATTTACAGCCATGGCCGCCCAGGGGGCAGTTCTAGGCTGTCATGGAGGGCCACTGTGAGGGGTAATCGCCTGCTTGGCCGTCATCCAGCAGGCCCTGGGCTAGGCCTTGCAGGCAGTAGCCCTCCCAGCAGGCCTCTTCTAGGGAGATGGACCCCCCGGGTTCCAAAGGGAGAGGGCTTGCTTTGAGCCCTGGCCATCTCCGTGGTCTGAGGGTGTAGCCTGGACTGGCTCCGAAGTCAGACTGCTCAGAGCAGCTGGGGCCATGTGCGTGTGACCCTTTCCTCCTCCAGGCTGGAGAGGGCCGATTTGACCCGTCAGGCAGTTCTGACACTAAAGGCCGCCTGCTTGTGGGGGGGTTTCAGGATGGAATGTATGGCTGAAATCGTTGGCACTTAGAGACCCGCATCCTTACGTAACTTTACTTGTGAGCAGTATGCGACAGTTCTTCAGTCTGTTTCAATATTATAATTTAAAGTATTTCCACGTGGGTTGGGGTATAAGAGCATACTTTCTAAAGCTGTTTTCCAGCTGCAGGTCTGTAAATTTGTCTCCAATGTATCTTCTCTTTGAAAGCATTTTTTCCTTTTTTTTTTGCCAATGAAGAAAAAAATTGTATTTCCCAATTCCTAAATTGCTTTTCTTCCGTGAAGAGCAGAGAGGGCTCCTGGTTGGAATGCTGGTCTCCTGCCCCACCCCCACCCCCACCCCCAGGCTGAACTGAGACTTCAGCTGAGGTGCGCAGCATGCACGCCCTCGGCCGGCCTGCCTGGCCTTTCCAGACAGACGCCAACACAGTCTCCACTCAGGAGGGCGGTGCGGGACTGCCCTGCTGCTGTTCCGAGCCCAGCAGCACTGCGCAGTGAGAGCTGATGGTGCATCCGAAGCCCTTCTCCCTGCCAGGGCACAGTCAGTCCTGGGGAGGCACCCACTTCCGTGGGTGAGCTGCTTGACTCTGGCCGGGTGCTAGATCCGCCCAGCCTCAGTGCCTCAGGTGTACACAAGTGGAGAATCATCATGCCTGCTTTATAAGACCGCCTGTGAAGGTTGGGTGCGATTATGCATGTAAAGCATTCAGCATGGGGTCTACTACAGCATTGCTACCACTGCTGCTCACACACACGTACCCCTACTGCCCCTCACACGGGAGGGTGGGGTTAGTTAGCACACACACACCCCACCCCACCCCACTGCCCTTCTAACATGGGAGTGTGGGGTTAGTTAGCACACACATACTTGCTGAGGTGAGTTGCAGCCAGCCCCAATTCTCTGCAGCCGGCCTTTCTCCCAGCCTAGAGCCTCCTGGGTGAGTCCAGGCTCACAGTGGGGCCCCGTGTGCCCACAGGCCTGCGGGGGGCCATTCCCTATGCGCTGAGCCTGCACTTGGACCTGGAGCCCCTGGAGAAGCGGCAGCTCATCGGCACCACCACCATCGTCATCGTGCTCTTCACCATCCTGCTGCTGGGCGGCAGCACCATGCCACTCATCCGCCTCGTGGACATCGAGGACACCAAGGCGCGCCGCAGGAACAAGAAGGACGTCAACCTCAGCAAGACGGAGAAGATGGTGAGGGGTGGGTGATGGCCAGAGAGGCGCATCAGGGTGTGCGTACACCCACGGGGAGGTGGGTGGAAGGCTGGAGCCAAGGAAGCCGTGGGTGGGCACCCAGTTCGTCCCTCCTGCAGCTGGGGCTCGGGTGGTCAGAGCCAACTCTTCCCCTGCCAGCCCTGCCTGGAGCCCTCAGGCCCCAGGAGTAGAAGGTCTGAGGGGACAGGCCTGTAGTGACTAGGGGCCCCAAGAGGTGCCTTCCATTGAAGACGGGCAAGGGCATGATCGGGGCCCAGCTGGGACTGATAGGAGTTGAGGCTTGTCCCACCCCACCCATTTCTCCCAGCTGCCCTGCCACTTGCAGCCCCCACGTGCTAGGCCAGGCCCTCACCTGCCTGCTGCACACCCTGGACACTCCCACAGTGCATCTCAGTCACTCGAGATCATTGAGAGCACAGAGCTCCTCGGCCAGGAGAGGCTGAGAGGAAGGGGCGTGGCCTGCAGACAGCAGACACTGCTGACACTCAGCCGGCCTGGCCCACCAGTAGTGCAGGCGTGGCTGGATAGAGCCCTCGGCTCACCCTCCAGGCCTGTCCCCGCAGATCTGCCTCCTGTCAGAAGCATATGCACAGACACACAGCGTCCCCCAATCCCTGCTGTACCATAGCTCGAGCCTCAAGCCTCCGGGTGGGTCAGCTGGCCGCCAGGAGGCCCAAGCTTCTGAGTCGTCTGCTGTGGGTCTTGCAGTCCCGTCGGCAGAGCGAGGCTCTGTCGGGCTGGGCCGTCACTCTGAACAAGAGTGGCTACTGTAGCTGTCTTCTGGGCTGCCGGCACGGCCCCTCCATCCCCCAATTTTGCAGACCAGAGCTCTGAGGCCCAGAGAGCTGACCAGTGGCAGTCAGAAGGAGGCTGCAGAGCCCTGCAGCAGCCGTGTCCTATGTCAGTGGTTGCTGAGTGGGGCCCACAGGCCAGCAGCATCGCCAGGAAACTGGCTAGAAATGCGGTGGGCCCCGCCCCACCGACAGAATCAGACCTGTGGGTGGACCCCACAGTCTGTTTCCATGATGAGCCTGGCATAGGCCAGAAGTCACCCTGCCCACCTCACCCGCTCCCCAGTGGAGAGCCCCCAGAAGGGACTACAGCAAGCATTCACTCTGCCTCAGAGCCGACTCTGCATTCGCGGCAGAGAGGTGGGGTGTGGAGGCCTGGGCCCAGTCTTCATCCCCAGCCATCTCACCCCTGCCTGCTCCCATCCCTGCAGGACCTTGATCTGCAAACACCCACCCAGAGGGGGCACCCGTGCTGGTTGAGCTGAGGGTCTGAGAGGCCGGCCCCTGTGAAAGGGCTGGTGGAAAGTGGCCGGTCCTGGCTGCGAGCTAGAGCCCCTGCAGAACTCTGCTGTCTGCACCCAGGCAGAGCATGTCAGGGGTGATGGCGGGGCCAATTTCAGGAGCGGGGTGGCTGCCGGAAGACTGCCTCCTCTGGGCAGCAGAGGTGGGGAGGCAGAGGCCAGAGCACTGGCGGCTGATGCCTGGCACCTCCCGCCCCCGCCCTCCCTCAGGGCCACACTGTGGAAGCGGAGCACCTGTCAGAGCTCACGGAGGAAGAGTATGAGGCACACTACATCCGGCGGCAGGACCTCAAAGGCTTCATGTGGCTGGACGTGAAGTACCTGAACCCCTTCTTCACCCGGAGGCTCACCCAGGAGGTGGGTGCTTTCCTCGACTGCCCTGTTCAGTGCTGGGGAAGGGGTGCCTGCTCCCGAGGCACAGCATGCTTCTCCTGGTGACCCACTAGGACGTGGGTCCCAGGGCTCTCCAGCCTAGCCAGGGCCCGGGGCCTGGTGGTCTGTCCCTCTGGGTGGCAGTGACTGACGGGCCCTCTCAGGGATAGGACCGAACTAGGGCCAGCTTAGCTCAGACACTTAGCCTACCTTGGGTGGAAGCAGGGGGGTAATGCTGCCTCCCCAGCTGCCGGCAGTCAGGGCACACTGTCAGCGCTGTCCCTCCCAGCAAGGCGCTGCCCCGGCCGCCATCTCCCCACCCACTAGTGGCTTCCATTAATTCTCCCAACAGCCCATGCCACCCAGAGAGGTGAGGGAGACCCCGGGGTCACACTGCCAAGCTGGGGCCGAGCCCTTCTGGTTCTAGAAGCTGCTCCTGAGGCCACACCTCCCTGCCGTCCAGGCTGGACTTCTCAGCAACCCCGGCACCTCTTAGATCATTCTCTCACTCTCACTCAGACCACGCCCACACACCTCTCCAGGCCTCCCCCCTGCCTGGGCACTGGCCCCTAGACCCTGATTGTGTCTCTTGGCCCAGGATCTCCACCATGGACGCATCCAGATGAAAACCCTCACCAACAAGTGGTACGAGGAGGTACGCCAGGGCCCATCGGGCTCCGAGGACGATGAGCAGGAACTGCTCTGACCCACGGTCGCCGGGGCCACGGGCTGCCCCCCACCACCCTCCTGCTCCCAAGAGGGCTGTGTGCTGCCCCTGGACAGACAGCCAGCCAGCAAGGACCACGGAAGGCAGCCTCTGCCCAGGGGGACAGCGCCAATGAGGGAAGGCCAAGGGGCCCCAGGCCTGTGGAGCCAGGGGCTTCTGAAGCCAGCGCCCCCCTCCCCATCCTTACCAGGTCAGGTCTGTCTCTGCTCTCGGCATCACCTTGCACGCAGCCCACAGATTGGGGCAGCCCCGTCCCAGGTCAGACGCTGCCTTCTGCTTTTGTGTGGGTGCCGGGGTGCAGAGAGGAGTTGTCCCTCTGCAGTGCCACCAAGCACCTTCCTGTGGGAACAAGCCAGGAGGGGCCAGGGACCCATTCTGCCCCCAGCCCCACCCTACCATGGCGGGCCCCAAACTGCGACCCCCTCACACTCCCAAGGAGGTAAACAGAGTGTCTTTTCCATCTCTGTTGGACCGGCACTTGGCAGGCTGCTTTGCCAAGTGGCAGCCTTTCTGAATACTGTGAAGGCTCATCCTGGCTCAACCCAGGGTGCATGCCAGACTGGCCTTTTCTAGAAGCTACTGGAAGCTGCAGCCCTGGTTGGAGGAGAGAGCTTGGCCTGTGGGGTCAGAGCACCCTCTAGAGGGAAATTCAAGTGCTACAGCACTCCTGCAGGCCTGAGCTGCTCTTAATCCAGTTCACATTCTTGCACGTTTACATAGTAGTGCGTGCCCAGCCATCACATACCTCCACCACTGCCCCTTACACACACACACACACACACACACACACACACACACACACACACACACACACACGATTGTCCCCTGCCCAAGTGTTCTTGATTATTCAGCTGTCCACCATTGATTGGCCTGCCGCCACCGTCTCAACTCATTGGGGTTTCCTTCATCATCGTCCTCTGTCCTGTTAGCTGCTGTCGGGCCCAGCCATCTGCAGGCTGGAGCCCAGCTCAACAAGGCGCTGGGCAGAGGTCAGGCCTGGGACAGTGGCCATGCCTGCTGCCCCTCCCTCCCTCCCACCGGTACACCCC